TCACAAACAAGGAGCAAAACTTCAGCATATGGTATTAATAGAACTTGTGTTTGGCTATGTTTCTAATCTGAATTGTGGTTTTATAGATATAGGGATAGTTCGCGAACTTTTTTTATCACCCCTCGTACTAGTAGGTAATAAAACAAGGTCATTCATATCGATTTTATGTGTCTAATTTCTTTGTGTTCCATTGGTGATAATTAAAACTTTGATAGATAATATAAGTTATCTGTGACAAACTTACAAACACTTAATTTTTAACTTTGATGGTGCCCATTTTTCCTTACCTGGAATCAAAGAGTTTAAGATTTTTATTAGATCAATACGTACACTATTTAACACCTGTTCGATAATAATACTAAGTAAATTACTTCAAGCCACACTATAACACCTTTCCTGTTAATATTATTTAAAATATTTTTCAACTGTAATTCTCTTCTACATTTAAAGATTGTTATGTCCCTCCATATTAAGAAGAGGTCTGGAAAACAAAATTCTTTACTAAAAATAGACCACGTGCTGCTATCCATGAACTACTTTCATGGTTCTTTACACTCTTTTTGAAAATAACGGTACCTTCTTTTGAATTTGAAATTATCATTTAAAAGTTCAAAATTTAGATATTTTCTCAAAAAATGGTTGTAGAGAAAATATTAATGCAGAGTTTGCATACTTTTTTGGATTTTTTAAGGCTTTGCTAAATTCTGTAGCTGTGCAGTTCTAAGGAGCATATCAAAAGCATTTTTCTGCAAAAGGATGGATTATATATACACAACATGCATTCAGTTATGCATATTTATTGTATCTTGATCATAACGACTTCAAATTTGATCAAAATATAATGTATTTTAGCCATTTGAAGAAATGTATACATTTTGTTCTCACTGCACTAAAGGTGGCCGGACATCCCCCTTAAGCTTTAAATATATTAGCTTTTTGATAAAATGTGAACATGGCCTGCGTCTCAATCGCCGTCTTAGTTTTAGAGTTACTACCCGTTGTTATGAAACGTCGCATGGCGCTATTTGTAGCTTTGGGCACGTGGGAAAGAGAACAATACTGGGTGATTAATGCAATATCTAGAAAAATAAAACGTTTAGGAAAAAAAGGACACTGGTCTAAATGTTCTTTTGTGTGTTAACTTAAAAAAACACTACCCGTTCTCAGTTTTAGTCATATTGAAACAAAACATTTCATGCAACTGGCTACAATTCTTATAACTAGTAATCAAATGCCATGGTTACTGGCTACCTGTATCAACATTTTTTCTTTAAATTCCTTCAGAAGGTTACTACAGTTTTGGGCAAATATTGGTGCATTTGTGAAGTTAGATACAGGATAAATCCTTTTCAATTTAATTATTTTTTTTAACTTTAAATAGTGTTAGTTATTTCATTCGTTTGTATTGCAGTGGGTAAGTTAAAAATTTGTAAAACCAATCATTGATTAATGAAGATTAGGAAGTCTAAGATGCATTAGGGTTTTCGGCCAGATTTCGCCTTCGCGTAGCTTCCTCCATGGTTAACTTTTCAAATGTGGAGAACCCTGCCATAAAATTTAAGTGGGATGGGCTATACACATGGTTTTCACATTTCATAGATTAATTCCTTGTCACAAGACCTTTAATATGGGTACCACCAATTTTTACCTCTTTATCTCTTGACCTAAACCTTGGTTTTTTACCCATTTTTACAAGAAAAACTTTAATTCTCGCCTTAGTTTTGATCAGTAGATGCTAGGGAGTTCATGCTTAACGTGTGTATTCATTGTTAACTTTCAACAGATTTAAATATGATTGACCTTGACCCTAGAGTTTGACCCACCTTAAAAAACTTTAACCCTGGCAACTAAGTTTAACTTTTGAATAGGAAGTACTAAAGCTTTCTTATTTCACATGTGTATTCCTTGTGACAAGACTTTCTTTTCATACCAACAATTTAACCCTTTGACCTTGACCTTTGAGTTTGACATACATTTGAAAAACTTTAACCTTTGCCATAAGCTGCCATACGGGGGCACCTTTATTATTTTTAGTTGTTGGTGTCTCCATATGAGGAAAAAATTCCCGAGAGAGATGTTTTCACAACAAACTAACAAATTACTAATAAAAAACATAAAACATGTATCTCTTGTTCTCCCTTAAATCAGAAATGAAGATATATATTTTTAAAAAATAATTATTATAAGAGTTGAAAAGGTGTGCATCTCACAATTGCTAAGTTCTGCGTTTGTAATAGCTATAAAAGTTTACTAGTTTTATTTTGCTACTCAAAACACCTGATTAACTATTTTCAATCATATTGTTTTCTGAAATGTTCAGTTTTTTCAACAATGGATACATGTCATATCTTTTCAGCTTCTCAAATAATTGCATGAAAAAAGCTTTTCAAATACTCTATAACCATGGTAGCCCTTTCAAAATACTTATGATTCAAACGTTTTAGCTCAATTTAGCTTTTCTGGTTTCCTAATCACATAACAACTGTCTTTCGTCTGTTAAATTGGAAACCTTTCACATTTTTACTTTCTTCTGTAGAACCACAGTGCCAATTTAAACCAATTTAATAGAAATGTGTACATTTGTATTTCAGCCTGTCCATCTTTAACAAAAAAATTAACCTTGGGATCACGGTCATATCTATTGAATGAGAAGCGACAAAGCATCCATATTTAACATATGTATTAGTATTTACCTGTGACAATGGCATGATTTTTTTTACCAGTGACCTTGAAATTTGACCTACTTGCAAAAAAATCACATTGTTTTTATTTCATCATTTTGAAAGAGAAAAATCAGGGCATTCATATTATACATCCACGAGAATTTTTTACCTGTAATAAGATCTTTCCAAATAAATCAAGATTTTTAACTCAGTGAACTTGACCTTGAAGCTTAACCTTCTTTTCAAAACTGTTGCATTTGCTTATAACATTTGATTGAGAAGAGATGTGACTTTCACATTTGACATGTACATTACTCTTAAGAATTCAAGATGTTTCCCAGCATGCTATTGTTTTTTACCCCTTGAAGTTGATGTTTGACCTAATTCATTTTCAAAATATTTAACTCTCTCAAAGATGATTAGGCTACTCTATAAATGGACAAAATCAATATTCCGAAACCTTACTGCACGTCAACATGACACCATCAACCAACTCCCTGAAGATGATAAGGCTACTATTTAAAATTTAGGAGGAGTTCAGGGAAGACGGGGCTTTTTACTTAAAAACGTCTTTTTCGACCCCCATTTGACCCCCCGGAGAAAATATCAAAATTCCAAGACCTTAAAATTGCACATCTACATGACACAACCATCCATCTCCTTAAAGATGATTAGGCTACTGTGTAAAATGTAGAAGGAGTTCAGGAAAGAAAAGTGTGACAAACAGACGGACGGACGGACATGAGTAACAACAATATATTAAAACTTTCTTAAGAAAGTGTGGGTATGAGGAATATTCATGTCTGTCTATCCCCTTATTAAGAAGGCCTTATTCATGATAAAGAATGAGTGCACTTGACTACGTCATTTGGAACCTTTTCGGCTACCCATTTTAAGCTTAACATTACAATATATCGCTAAAGTAATCTATGATTAATGTGCAAGCATATGCTATTGATATTTATTTCTAGATTTTTTTGTCATACATATTTCAATAATTACAGTCGCCCGCGTGGCGCAGTGGTTAGAGCGTCTGCTCTAGAGTCGCGAAGTAAGGAGTCAATCCTTATGTCGCGGGTTCGAATCCCACTGTGGGACGTGGAGACCGGTCCTTCGGATGGTCCCGTGTCGCAGAAGGTGCTGGCATGAAAAAGATCCCTCACTGCTCAAAGGCCCTGAGTGCCAAGCATAGGACAAAATTTGTAGCCCTCCACCGGCAAGTGATGGCGTCTCCATATGAGTGAAAAATTCTCGAGAGGGACGTTAAACAACATAAATCAATCAATCAATCAACAATTACAGACAATGTAATTGAAAAGAACATGTAAAAGCCTTAGATTCCGGAAATATTAACGGGACAACTTTCGAATTTAAGGTATTTGCAAATAATTTACCTTGTATGGATGTGGAATGTAAACATTACCACATATGATTTTTTCGCACTACGAATTTAAATGGAGAAGAAAGAGAGATAATGTTGATTTTATGGTGCACAATAAATAAATTATACTAATAGGGATGCGGTAGATGTCTCGCATGCAGACCATAATACAGAGGTAACATAAGCTTATACGTATACTTACTAAATACACTGTCCCTAGAATTCTTTCAAAACACTCCGAATGAAAAGTATAAAGTTAAAAAAGAGATATATTATCTTCTAACCCTATTAAATGCACAAAAATCTCCCACAGTTTTAAATTGGTAGTACGGTAGATACTGTCACAACAGAAACTTAAATACAATGAAATGTTCCATGAAAGCGTTAGCGTATCGAACAGCGGAAATTCACGTGAATAATGTGATTATAATATTAATCGTTGACGCTCGGTGACCGGTTAATTTTGCAGCTATCTCGACCTTAGTTTGGGGACATTTTTTTTAAATTAGATATGAGTTGCAACTTGGCCAACATTGTCCTTTGGATATGTATAAGTTTAAATCGAAATATATATTTTGTGCAAATGAGACCAATGGCTAAGTTGCAGTTCTATGTAAACAATGTCGTTGAACACTAGTAAGCATATGAAAAACACTAGAAATGTGACAAAACTGTTAGACCCCCGTCTTAAAAGCTAGTGTTGCTCGGCATTATTTAATAATTTCATGATATATAATATACCAAAACCTGCTCTTTAGACATTGTTTAATACCTTCAAAACATACATTTAATGAGTTTTTGAATTTTAATTTGCTCAAATATCGGGATCCAACTCTCATAGCTTAAGTGCAGTCATTCTTTTCATAAGTCACTATAACTGAAATGAATTGAATAATAAAACCCACAGAAAATATTTTCTATTTAAAAAAAAAAACACTTGTCATGTCGCTACTTACATATAAATATATCACTGCTAAGATAGTCTTGCTCAGGACATCCAACTCTAAACTTCGTGCAGCTAACTTGTGTTAGATTTCCAGGAGGATACAAAAGGAGACAATTTCCTGTTAAAAAGTAAAGGATATATTTTATATCAGACATACGTAACAGTCAATATGTTTTTTTTCAGTATATCTTATAAATTTAATTAAAAAAAAACTTTCATGATAACAGTAAAAAGCCCAAAGTAGTAATACCAAGAATTTAGAGATTTGTGTGAATATAAAGTTATGATAATATGTTGGCATTCGGGGATAGAGCCAAAATATGTTAAACCATATATTTTAAATGGCTCTGTACCTGAGAGCCACCATATAACTTTAATAAATCCTGTATGCAGATACTCAGTGCATCTTGGCGTTTCCTTAATTGATAACAAAATCAACATGGATTCAAAAGGCATAAAGCTTCACAATACATTTTCATAAATTGTCATACCTTTTTTGCAACATAAGTTATTAACACTAACACTAAGAAATCAAAGCAAAAAGTAATAAAATCAATGTTCAAAAACTGTTGTTTATGATTCAAAAATCAAAATACGGTTAATGATTATAAAGTTGATTTAAAATAAATTATTTTAAATGCAAAGTATAAAATAAATAGTTTTTCCTATCTACTACAATGTACTGTCATAAAGTCACAAAAAAAAAAATCATTTCAAAAATCAAAATGATATTTTCAAAGATTTACATGTTGAATTTCATCATAAGATTATTAATTGAAAATTAGAACAATTCAATGATATGTTTCTTATCATTTACTTAAATATTTACTGTACATCTTTGTTCACCTCATTAACAGTTAAACAACGCTAATCCCTTTATGTTATGTTAAGGATGACGTTTACGCAGATAGTGAAAAAAATCCACCGATAAAAAACCACTTTTTTAATTCACCTATGATTATATTGTTATCAATAACTTTCAGATAACTGGGTCAATTACCTACACTTTATACTAGTGGTCCTTGAGTATTTATCTGAAATACCTCAGTTTTTCACACTTTCATATTGCAGTCAACATAAATTAACGAATTTCAAAACGAATGGATTTCTATTGCTGAATTAAAATAAACTATTGTTCTTTTTTGTTCGGGTCAGATTTTCCCGTGTCAATTTTCTTATTTTTACCCTTTTCAATATAATATTACAAAAAGCTCAATTTAAAGATCTTTACACTATTTTTTTAAAAGCCTAGCCTCAGTTTACTTTTGCTACCCTTATTCAGAAGGTATAAAATTTTATGAGGTCAAGAATCAAATTACTGAGACATTTTGTCTTGAATAGTTTTCTTTCATATTTTGTCAATTGCATTTCATACAATATGATATAGATCTTTACTTTACGAATGAAATAGCAAGAAAAATATAGTTTTAACATTAATGAAAATCAAAATTTTGTCGGAAATTTCCTCCATCATTATGTATTTACTTTTATTCTTGCAAATTTTCTGCCGCATATATGGCTAAAATATTGCCGATTCGGCGTAAAACAATAATCAATCAATCAATCAAATACTAAGATATGACTTTTTTAATTGAGATAAAGTTATGATAGTTATTTTTATAGAAAAATATTTGACTTAGCTTCTGGTACATTTTAGCATTCCGTTTTCGTCGACTGAAAGCTTGAGCAAAGTATTCTAAATACTGTACAACATATTTTATAGTCCCCTAAGATAAACAAGGGTTCCTTTAATTTGTTCCCAAGAGGCTTTTCTGTTCAAACTTATGGATGTATTTCTCTGGCTTTACAATAGCTAAACAAATCACATTCCTATTAGTGTTAAAATCCAGAAATACGATATGAATCAAAGGGAATTGTGCAACTGTTTATAAAAACTTGTAGTGTAAACCTTTTTCGATAAGTTCCATTGTTCTGTCATAACAAAACTCGATAAGAGTTGTTATGTTCTTGTTTGGAATGCATAGATACTGTAGTATGTTGTTTTCATCATAAGAACAGTTAAGTCGGGCTCCAGCTGTGTACCACTCCCATTGGTTTTTGGGACAGGAATCAACTTCTTGAACAGGAAAGCGATACTGTGGTATCACCTGTAAGTTTGATATTTGTATCGTTACAAAATATACAATTATTCAAGAAAATACAATTATATAAATAAATACCGCAGGCACCCGAAGAATAGCTTCCATCTCCATTCATTTATTTGCAGATATAGCAAAATACTAAGAAAGATATGGAGATCACGAACAGTATTCAACCTCAAAGTCCTTTGAACAATATACAAAATAAGAGCAGAGCAAACACGGACCTCCGAAACATCAGAGGTGGGATCAGGTGCCATGGAGGAGTGAGCATCCCCTGCCGACCAGTCTGCTCGTTGTCATGATCAGGAAATAACAGAAAAGATCCGTCGTCAATTCTGTGTATAAATAATGGACTAACAAATGGTATGAAAAACATAAGTCAACATTTGACTCAATGATAAATTGTATTTGCTGACAAGGCCATTGTATCGACCATAGAACTTACGAAATGATAACTTTAAACGAGACTGTTGATATTCTTGTTTCATCAACTTGCTTGTCAATAATTTACCTCGCTTAGGAAATTGTTCATACGTACAGCATGCTCTTGCGCATCGAATCAACTGAGATATATATACTCCATATGCAGGTGATGAAGGTATATTGCTGCATAAGTAAGGGAAGTTGACGATAGAAAAGTTAAAGTCATCACGTTTATCATATAGCTTGGTTGTTAGATTACCATTAGTGTCTTTTTCAAGTAAAATATCCAGGTATGAAGCAGAAGTGTCGGACTCTGTGGTATTTCTTATCTCAAGCTCACCAGGACATATCGTATCGACGTAGGAATGGAAATTACAATTGTTAATTAATAATACGTCGTCGATATATCTAAATTGAAGGCCACAGCAAGTGTTTTTTTTTCTTTTCACGCATAAGATTTTGCATAAATTCTGCTTCATATGAATACAAAAATAGGTCTGCTAATAACGGAGCGCAATTTGTACCCATGTGAATTCCCATAGATTGTTAGCTCACCTGAGCCGAAGGCTTAAGTGAGCTTTTCTGATCAAAATTTGTCCGTTGTCTGTCGTTGTTGTCGTAGTCGTCGTAGTCGTTGTCGTCGTTGTAAACTTTTCACATTTTCATTTTCTTCTCAAGAACCACTGTGCCAATTTCAAACAAACTTGGCACAAAGTATTTTTGGGTGAAGGGGATTCAAGTTTGTTCAAATGAAGGGCCACGCCTTTTTCCAAGGGGAGATAATTATGAATTAGAGAAAAATTAATGGCATTTAAAAAAATAACTTCTTCTCAAGAACCACTGGGCCAGGAAAGATGAAACTCATGTGGAATCATCCTCAGGTAGTGTAGTTTCAAGTTTGTTCAGATCATGACCCCTGGGGGTAGGGTGGAGCCAAAATTGCCGATCAAAGTTTTACATAGGAATATATAGGAAAAATCTTTAAAAATCTTCTTCTCAAAGACCACTGTGCCAGGAAACATGAAACTCAAATGGAATCATTCTCAGGTTGTGTAGATTCAAGTTTGTTTAAATCATGACCCCCAGGGGTAGGGTGGGGCCAAAATGACCGATCAAAGTTTTACATAGGAATATATAGGAAAAATCTTTAAAAATCTTCTTCTCAAGAAGCACTGGGCCAGAAAGGTTGAAACTTATGTGGAATCATCCTCCCGTTGTGTAAATTCAAGTTTGTTCAAATCATGACCCCCGGGGCTAGGGTGGGGCCAAAATAGCCGATCAAAATTTTACATAGGAATATATAGGAAAAATCTTTAAAAATCTTCTTCTCGAGAACCATTGAGACAGGAAAGATAAGAATTCATGTGAAATCATCCTCAGGTAGTGTAGATTCAAGTTTGTTCAAATCATGACCCCCGGGGGTAGGGTGGGGCCAAAATGGCCGATCAACGTTTAACATAGGAATACATAAGAAAAATCTTTAAATATCTTCTTCTCAAGGACCACTGTGCAAGGACACATGAAACTCAAATGAAAAAATCCTCAGGTAGTGTAGATTTATGTTTGTGACCCCCGGGGGCAGGATGGGGCCAAAATAGCTGATCAAAGTTTTACATAGGAATATATAGGAAAAATCTTTAAAAATCTTCTTTTCAAGAACCATTAGGACAGGAAAGATAAAACTAATGTGGAATCAGCTCAGGTAGAGTAGATTCAAGTTTGTTCAAATCATGACCCAGACCCCCGGGGGAAGGTAGGGGCCAAAATGGTCGATCAAAGTTTTTCATAAGAATATAGGGAAATCTTTTGAAATCTCCTTCTCAAGTACTTCAAAGCCATAATAAGTGATATTTATATGAAATCATCCTCAGGTAGTGTAGATTCTAGTTTGTTCAAAGCATGACCCCCGGGGGTAGGGTGGGGCCAAAATGGCCGATCAAATTTTAAAAATCTTCTTTTCAAGAACCACTGGGCCAGAAAAGATGAAACTCATGTGGAATCATTTCAGGTAGTGTAGATTCAAGTTTGTTCAAATCATGACCACTGGGGGAAGGTAGGGGCCAAAATGGTCGATCAATTTTTTTCATAAGAATATTTCGGGAAATCTTTTAAAATCTCCTTCTCAAGTGCTTCAAAGCCATCATTAGTGATATATATATTTAATCATCCTCAGGTAGTGTAGATTCTAGTATATTCAAATCATGACCCCTGGGGAGTTAAGATTTAAGCCACCCCCCCCCCCTCAAAACTCAGTAAACTTTCATTTCTGATCTGAGAATAATTGCTTTTTCCTAGCCTGTGTGCTCAGGTGAGCGCTGTGGCCCCTGGGCCCCTCGTTGGAATACCTGGTAAAAAAAATCAATACTATTTGCTTGTGACCCCTGAATAATAATGTCTAGTGCCTTTTTCTCAGGAAGTTTTTAGGTTGAACTCCCCCAAACTGATAATGTATTGCTGGAACACCCTCATTACGGCAAAGTGAAATTTGCTTTCTAGGGACCTGCAGATGAAGTGGCGACATCATCTTGTATATAAACAGTAGATATGCCTTGACACCTTACTTCCACTCGCAACGACAAACTTCCACTCGCAACGACAAATTCTGTCATAAATTGGTATTGCATGGGTTTTTTTGGAGTTTATATTAAAAAAAATCAGTTGATGAGTATCATGCCTATAACTTGTATTACATTGCAAAAAATCTTATCCCTTAAATGTCAAGTAGTAGAAAATACTGCATTACATGTATATGTAATTTTATGCAAAACTCTAGCGATACTGTCTCATTTTCGTAAAAGGTGCATAATGTTTTGTGGTTTTCACTCCCTTGCTTCGCTCAGGCTTTATGATGACTCTCAAAGGTACATCGAATAACGTAAATTAGATGCTTACTACTCGTTGCAATTATACAAATGGCTTATCTGTTAGAATTCCCTGAACATGATATAAAAATTTAACTGGGAAAATGCTCACATTTTATAGATATGCCCAAATCTACACTGTCCCCTTAAACTGAATCCTTATATCCGGGGCGGGGGAAGATTTCATAAATATGAGGTTAACTTCTCATTATAACTAGCAAACAGTTCGTTTGCTTGATATTGTTTGTTTGAACAGTGTATGTATGTTGTTTAACGTCCCTCTTTTTCACTCATGTAGAGAGATGCAACCATGTAATTGCCGGTGGACAACTTCAAATTTTGTCCTTTATTCGGCACTTAGGATCATTGAGTAGCAAGAGGTCTTTTTCGTGGCAGCAGCTATTGCAACACGGGACCTCGGTCTAAACGGCCTCATCAGAAGGAGAGTTCTCCACGTCCCACAGTGCAATTCGAACCCGTGACGTAAAAAACGACTCCTCATGTCGCGACTCTAGAGCAGACACTCTGATCACTGCGCTACTTCGGCGACTCTGCTTGATATTCTTGACAGAGCAAGGGTCCCAAAGGATAAAAAAAATCAACATGTGATAAAAACTTAATTTTACCCTGGATTTTGACTGGTTTCCTAGGAGACGTGTGCTTTATAAATGATAACACTTCTATATTTCATTACAAACCATTTTGCTAATAATTTTTAGATATTCTATGAATTGTGTTGGTTACGGTGATTTTGACAATATCCGATTTAAAAAAAGTCTGAAACATATTTGTTTTCGCTTTTTTATGATAAACACTAAAATTTATTCATAAAGGACCACCCACCGCGGAGAAAAGGATGAAAATAAATAAAAATAATCGTTCTTAGCTCGTCTTATAACAATGAACGAAAAAAAAGACAGCAATAGAGCACTTGAAAAATCCATGTGAAATAAAAACGTACAGAATAATTTACCATAGTAAATATAAACTTACTTCAGAAGCAAAATAAAACAGCAGAACATAAAGTATCGCTCTCCTTTTCATCGTCAATTCATTTGCCAGCCTTTGTACTTGTTGAATTATAGGAATATCTCAGCCTGTTAAATTTTTATGCAAACCTTTAAAGAAAGAAGTTAATGGCCACAATATATGTTTTAATTAATATATCAAAGCAGTGTGCTTGGCGTATTTTAAGGAAAAAAATGTTGGTACTTTAAGTAAGGCTTTTTCCCAAAAAATACAAATGTGAAATATAAAACCATAGAACCAGCTGTTCCAAGGTAAAGGTTAAAGGTGAAAGTTGTTGATATTCGATGAAAGGTATTTTCAGAAGGATGGCATATGTGAAGTATGGAACCTCTAGCCCCTACCGTTCAAAAGTTATTGTCCATGTTAATGTTTTTTTTTGCAAGTACAGAAATCTTCAAGGTCAAAGGATAAAAAAAATTGGCTTGAAATGCAAGGTCTTGCAACATATAATTGATATTTGAAATATTAAATTCCTAGTATCTACCGTTTAAAAATTAGGGCCAAAATAAAAGTTAGGATATTTTGTGTAAAAATGGACCCTAGTCCAAGGAGAAGGCCGAAGGGTCAAATACATGTTCTTGATGTCATATGAAAGGCCTTTTTACAAGGATTAAATATGTGAAGTAATAAAGCCGATGTTCTAACTCTTCACAAAGTATGGTCAAGGTTGATTAAAAAAAAACAATAAACTCCAAGGTCAAAGGGTCAAAGTTCTTGGTATTCTTTGAAGCGTCTTTTCAGAAGGATTTCATATATGAAGTATGAAAGTCCTAGCCCTTACCGTTCAAAAGATATGGACAAGGTTAAAGTTAAACAGAAATCTCTAAGGTCAAGGTCAAAAGGTCAAAGTTGTTGCTACTAATTGAAAAGTCTTTCCAGAAAAAATATATATGAAATATAAAAGTCTTGGTATCTTCTAATCAAAAGATATGACCAAAGAAACGTTTGGAATTTTTTTTTGTAAAAGTGAGTCAAACTCGAAGGTCAAGATCCAAAGGTCAAAAAAAAACACGCACGCTAACTCCCGATTCCCGCCTACATTTTGGAACCATTTAATTCAATATCAATAGCAATATGGCCATAAAATCTTTGTTTAATACAAAGAACAGTTAAATGGAAATTGATAAATCGTCTTTATACCAGCGCTAAACAGTTAATTATCCATCGTTCCAGCTCTTGAAAAAAAGGGGGGTAGACGATTTTTTCAATTGAAATCGGAGTTTCAAGCATCATCGTATTTTAAAATAGTCTTGGATATGATTAAATGTTCATTATATCTTTTCTTATGTTTTAGGCAAATAAATAAAACATAAATATTTAAATAAAATATAATGTTTCAGTTGTATATCGCTTTGAAATTGGTGGAAAATAAGAATTTTTATCGTTTTTGTGAATAAACATATCCCCCCCCCCCCCCCGTGTCACACAAAAAGCTTTGGTATGAATTTGTGAAATACCACTCCATCCCACCTGTAAAAGGGATTTTTTTGACAGGGGGCACGGGGGGAGATGTTTCAGAAATATTTTCCGTTTTCCATTGATTTCTATAGTGAAAAACACAAGTTTTACCAAAATTTTAAAGTTATCTCTCTTTGTTTCCCCAAATAAGTAATGTTTTATGAAAATTCATATAATTATCTATAAAAATATTAAATATTCATCGAATATGTTTTTGAAAATTGACTTGGAGGTAGGCGGGAGAACAATACTATCGTTTGCAGTTCTTTAGTTGTACCCAAAGAAAATCTTTGTCATAAAGGAATACAAACGTTAAATATGAAAGTCATAGCTCCATTAGATCAAATGTTTTGCGGATAAACAGACATACAGAGAGACCAACAGACAGACAGACGGGCACAACAAAAAATATAATCCCCCGAAACTTCGTTTACGGGGGCATAAAAAAAGTTAATTGCGAACATTAAACGGTATTTTTTAGGAATCTTTAAATACTATTATTACAGACATATACTATGTTATTTTGGAATTTGTTGGATCTTATTCGAAAATGGAAACAAAAGCGATATCTCGGTAGAGAAAAACATCTTGATTTGTATGGGTTAGTTACGATCATCATACGACAAAAAATCGATTGATTTATTGATTTATTGTATACTGTTTAACGTCCCTCTCAAGAATATTTCACTGATATGGAGACGTCACCATTGCCGGTGAAGAGCTGCAAATTTAGGCCATGCTCGGCACTCAGGGCCTGTGAGCAAGGGGGGGGGTCTTTATCGTGCAACACCTGCTGTGACACGGGGCCTCGGTTTTTACGGTCTCATCCGAAGGACCGCCCAATTTAGTCGCCTTTTACGACAAGTAAGGGGGTACTGAGGACTTATTCTAACCTGGATCCCAACGGGGCTCAAAAAGTCGAAAAACGGCGCAAAACAGCGCATTGTTTTTTTGCACTATAAATTTACCATGCTCCTTGTACATATCTGTGTGAGGCAGATTTATTTATTTTGTGAAAGATGTTATTCAAAATTTGGCTTAACATATATTGTATTGGCAAAAAAATAAACAAAGTTGCATAATGTTAAATTTGAATTACATGTACATGCAAGCGATGATGATTAATTGTGTAATGATACAAAAGAAATTGAAATTTACTTTAAAAAAGTTTAACTCATCATCTGTGTCGTAAGATGAAGTTTTTCAAAAAGCTTTAGCTCAGTGACCTGACCGTGCTTAATTTAAAAATGAAATTCTTTGTAATTCCATTTAAAAGCATGCAGTTTTCAGTGATGCATGTTAAGTTCTTCAATAAACATTTTAAACTGTGACAAAATATTTACTGTTTCTGCTTCAGGATGTGTGTCACTTTACTTATGTTACAACCCTAGCATACATACTTTGGGCACTCTAAGTACAAGTAAGCTTAAGATGACTCAGAAATCCACTGATAAGAGGAATCCTTGGAGGGATTTTTTTCAATGTTTTTTCTTCTAGTAACTAATTATCCGGCAAAATTAACAAAAAACAAATTAAACACATATTTAATATATAATTTTTATAAAATGTAAGATCAATTAAAAGATGAGAAAATTCCGGTGGATTGGTAACAGGTAATTGTTGATATTTAAGGATTTTTTACATGATTAGCTCAGAAAGAAGGAAGGATAAAACAATGAAAAGTGGGAATGCAAAATAAGTACGATTTTTTCGAGTATCTACTCTGGTGTGAAGTGACTGCGATGAACACATGTGTCATTTTAAAAACATATGTAATCATGCAAACAATGAGCCTTTCAATCTCTCTGACATACATCTGGAAATGTTTGAGTATCTCTTCAATTTTTATCATTTGGATGAATACTTCATTTCTCTAAGACATAGAAAATGTCTCAGAGTATACAGAAAGAAAATACTCATAATTCTCAAATAAACACATGTCTATTTAATGCATTGCTCGATATCTTTTTAAAAAAAAAGATTTTAATCATTAACATTGATTAAAAATGCGCCTTAAAATACATTAATTAAAATCAAGTATTGTTTTGTTTTACTTAATAACAGGCTCTTTAAAAACTGTTTGGGAATCTAGAAACGGTCACAATGATGCAAAAAACAATTAAATCCTGGTTATTTCGTACCCCCCCCCCTCTCTCTCTTTATAGAGAATTTGTATAATTTTTTTTGAAAGCTTCATAATAGCTTCATATTTCAGAACAAGTAAAACAATTAAACAGTGAAGTAATTTAACATGTATTTGATTAACTACTGAATGAAAGTGAAATTTGTCATAATGACAAAAAATATTTTCTATTCACAAAAGGTGTTGTAAAATACTTTTAGGCTTTTTTAAAAATAAAACAAGATGTGTTTGTGTGGAATACTATGTGCCCGACAGCAACAAATTTCGAAAAAAATTCTATTTTTAGAATACAGGTCACAGTCAAGGTCTCAAGTTCTTTACCTTTGGTATTATTTGAAACTCAGATAGAACTTAATTAGTAGAGTAGGCATACCAAAAATACAGTCTCTATCATTCATGGTTCTAAAACTATGGCCAAGGTTCAAAAAAGCTAAATTTATCATAAATGACACAGTCTAGGAAACAAGGTCACTGCCTTTGTGTTATTTGAAAAAGCGTAATTAGTTTTGTACCGAACTAAATACAGTCTCTATATTTCATGGTTTCAAAATTATGGAGAAGATTAAAGTTTGCAGACAAAAAATATTGTTAGCATATAGGTCACAGTCAAAATCACAAGGTCATTGACCTCGATGTCATTTATAAAAAGCTTAATTAGTAGAGTATGGATACCAAAAAATGAAGTCTCTATCTTTCATGGTTCCAAAGGTATGGTGAATGTTAAGGTTTGCAGACAAACAGACACTCAAACAAACATACAAACAAAAAAATGTATAGGACAAAATAAATATACACGTGGATCTATCGACCCAGGCGCATAAAAAGAGAAACTAAAATAAGAATACCAAAAAAAAAAAAAATTATAAAGTTTGAACTTTAATATGGAATTTATGGAATTAATTAACTTGAGAAACATTTTATTAAATAAATTATATTTTCTCATGTTTTGTATGTGTTAAAATATTGATTTAAAAAATTCTATCCTACTCGTGGAATGAAATCCATCTACAGAACGTATTACACATGTACACATGCATATTTTATTCAATTAGAGCATTCATAAATACATTCTATAAACTCTTACCTTCCCAGTAATACATCTTCTAAAACATAGGGATAGGGCTAAATGATTTTTATTTTTTAAAATGCTATTCACACTAGAAAATAATGTATACTCCGCTGCTATTCAAGTGGTTTCGACATAAAATTACTGGTCGTTTCCGTTATGGTCTTGTTGACCAATAAACTAGGTTTTCCTCTTTGTTTCGTATGATATCATGTTGATAGCAATAAATATGTTTTGAGCTACAATGACATGTTTTATGGAAAGTCTATTTACCTTGTTAGTCTCATAGGCGTCGTGCCCGGGGGGGGGGGGGGGGGGGGGTATTGTATGCTTGTATCGAAAACAAAAGTTCTTTAAAAAAATAATGTACTAAAAGCTTCTGCAATATTGATAAATGCATATAACGGTTTGTTAGTTTCAAAACGGTAATAAAGTAAGAAAAACAAGTTCGGATCTCTGTTATTTTACGTTGTAGACTAGAGCATGTTGATATGTACTGTTTCCATTGTTAGATAATAAATGTAAAGATAGGCTTTGCGTCCCCAGAGGCAGCTGGACTATTGTTTACAATAAGTATACACTTAAAAATATCTTATAACTATTACATAGAACATTCATAAATACATTATCTCAACTCTTACCTTCACAGTAAAACATCTTCTAAAACATATGGAAATTGTTACATGATTTCTATTGTAAAATGCTCTATTTATGCAGACTAGAATTGAGTGTATACTCCGCCGCTTATTCGAGTATTTTCGACATAAAATGGCTGGTCGTTTCCGTTACACTTATTGCCACTTACAGTGCATTGAATGTAATTAACTAAGAAAACGGTATATTCTTGCATCATTTTTCTTGGTGTTTTAAGATTAAATCTTTGTAATTTTGCGTTGAATTACAGTAAAAAAAAAAACAGTGTCAATCATGTGCCTAAAATTATTTTAGCATACCATATTACATGTACGTGTAAATATTGTACGTGACCTAAACATTAACAGTTCTTTAAAAGGAGCAAGAAAAAAAAATACAAATATGTATTCGGTAGTTTGACATTTTGTCAAACAAATTAAATTAAAAAACAAATTATTTAAACTGTGTCATCAATGTACACATTTTCACCTTGCACATGTAGTTGTTTAAGAAATAAACAACGTTATTCAGTGAACATGGCGTTATGAATAGCAAATGCTCTAATGGCATATTCCATGATGCGCGCTAGCAATACAAAACAAGAGCAGAGCAAACACGGACCTCCGAAACATCAGAGGTGGGATCAGGTGCAATGGAGGAGTGAGCATCTCCTACCGACCAGTCACATCTGCCGTGTGCTCATTGTCATGATCGTGAAATAACGGAAAAATCCGTCGTCAATTCAGTGTATAAATAATGGACTAACAATTGGTATGAAAAACGTCAATCAGCATTTGACCCAGTGATAAATTGTATTTGCTGACAAGGTCATTGTATTATTTTCTATGTATTTCTTATGTATTTTTTCCAGGGAAATTTCATGGATACAGTTACAGCCAAGTTATAATGATAGAAATATAAAGATCGTAGATAATTTTTGCAATGAAATAATCATTCTTCAAACACGATATCTTAGTTATATAACTAAGAAACGTGTAAATCCTTACCATCAAAAAGATAAGTCCTTTCACTTCGGAGTTCTGAAAGACAATAAAAACTGAACGATAAGTGAACGGTGATCGCAAAGTAAACGGAACAAAGAGCGAACGGTGAACGTTTTGAGAACGGTGAAAGCGAGCGCACAGCGAAGGGTGAACGCACGCTGAACGAACGCTGAACGAATAGTGAAAGAACGGTGAGCAAACGGAAAAATGGGAAAGCAGAACGTTTCAAGGACTGTACCTGTATGTATGATCAATGAAAAAAGCTCAGTTGAGTGTGTGGCTACGGGGTTTTACTATTTGATTTATTGATACGCTGTTACCAGTCTGTAAGAAAAAAAATCATATAAATCATTTATGCCCTCCATTTATCTTATGCTAGACAAATGCCTGTATTGTAAAGAATGCGTGAAAACCAGTTCCCATTTGGTCCTGCAGCTTTGTTAATTTTTACTTTCTTAAAACACTACAAGACATTATTTGATGAATATTGTCATTTATTTTATAATTAATGACGAAAATAACAATTAATTACAAATAAACTACCTTAACTACTAGGGAGATCCCAGACAAACGTACATAGACTTATTGAGCACCTAATATCACAATGGCAGCGGGATCTCCCTAAAGTCTAAGCAAGACATGATTATGATTGCTGAATGTACATTTAGAAGATGGGAGATCACCAGGTAACATATATGATGACCGTCAAGCAAAAACCACCCTTAAGTCAAAATTTTGACATTTTGAGTTGATTAGCGATCCTGATAGACAATTTTCTCCTCTTTCAAATGATATATGACATGTCATTGTTCAAAGACTAGATATTAGCGAAATTTTAAAAATAAAAATTACAAATTCTTCGTCATGACGCTGTGTTTTATCGGATAACATCAATTATTTTGTTCTCAGAATTCCTTGGTTGTGTTGAAAAATTGCACGAGAAAAATCACCTCGGACAACAAATGACATTATATAAGTGATTTTTATTTTTTATTATTTCGTGCCAGCGCCTACTTGAACTTGTAAGGCTAAACTCACTTTTTAGAACATCAGAGATTTGATATAAATGTAAAATGTTTATCTTTTAGCTTTACTAAGTAACGTATGACTTTTAAAACACCCTCCTCCCAGCCACTCAATTACAACGTGCAAGACTGCCCTAAACAACATTAGCAGCTTAATTTCTAGTATACAGTAGGTTAATCAATATCAAGATCTGAGCGAAGAAATTATTCTTTACCATTTTTAAATGCCTGTTTTTCAGATGATTAGGTCGAATTTTCTCTAACTTAGCGCATTGTAGTAACCCTTGGACTTCCGGTCAAAAGACTTTCATTTATGAATAAAATACGTAAGACCCCGTTGTGAGGTAATGCAGTGTATTTTTGCTTCATTAACTCTCCATCGCCTTTACTTTGTGATTTTCCAGGTAGAGCAATGGAAATGCACACTTAAGCCATCTTCAAGAAGCTTTAACGTCGTTACGGGAAAGGAAAGGAGATTTTATTTTTTGAAATATTGCTGCATTCGTTAAGATTAACAGTACAAACCCTTAAAACTCCATAATATCGCCAGCTGTTTTGTGAAACATGCAATTTTCGATTTCTGTTATGCAGACTCAAACTTGACTTCCGGTTATGGTATGAGAATCATTCAACCGTTAAATTACCGATTTTTACCAATTTGAAGATATCCATAATTTTAAGATTTAAAATTTTTTACTTTACATAATTATTTCACCCTAAAGTAGGATGTTGCGTTTCTTTTGCGTGTCAGTATATATATACATATTGTGAGATCTATAACAATTTAAATACAACTTTAGTTTTTATTTTATTTAGTCGTAAGGTGGCCAGCAACACAAAGAGTCATAAAATATGTATATATCATTAATAGCAATAAATATTATTGCATGCAGAAAAAACTCTGGTGTATAAAGTCATAAAATAAAGGGGGAGGTGTAGTATAGAGCTACAAAACTAAAAGAAACGGGGGGGGGGGGAAAGCAGACTTTATCTGAACTACCGGGCGTTGAGGGAGGTACCAAACCTAATCTGATCTAGCAGGGGTTGAGGGTGGAAGCAAACATGATCTGACCTACTGTGGTTGAAGGGTAGCAGCAGACATGATCTGACCTACTGTAGGTTGATGATGATAGCAGACATGATCTGACCTACTATGATAAGGGTGGTAACAGACCTATACCTAACAGTCAACTACATCATGTACATATAAAAACAATCAGGTCAAAATGCTCAATCACTTTTAACAGAAAATGAACCTATACGAATGAAACGCTTGACAGCATATGACTTCCATCTACCCATATTTTGAATAGCATTTTCCGAAAAACCCTGTTCTGCTGCATGTGTAGCAGCTCCAATTCTGAAGCTGTGACCCTTGTATTGTTTTGGATCTAAACCAATATATTTGATAACTTCACTTAGTTTCTTTGAAACATAAGAATATGTTACAGGACAACCATCTAAGAACTGAACTAAAGGTTCATTCAAATGACGGAAATGCTTTAGATATTGAAACAATGCATGTACTGGGCAAGAAAGGATGTTGTCTGATGTTTCTAAAGTAATAAATCTAGGTTGTCCTAAACTAATGGTTTTGAAATGACGTAGTACCAATTGTACATGCTTTAATTTGTTATTTGCTAACTTAAAATGCACATCTGACCTTTGAATTACATATTCTGCCCGTGTTTTTGATGTTATAACCAATTCACCTAACCTGAAATAACCATGAAATGCGAGCAAAAACAAAGCCTTTAACAGTAACATGTTGTAATGATCAAGAACTGTATGTTTCAAAGCCTTTACCATCTTGATCAGAATTTCACCAGTTATTGGCAAACGTGAGCTGTATCATTCAACTTCCCAGGAATGTGTTTTGCACGGAAATGAATATTGCACTGTAGTGACACTTAAACAAGTCTGCGGAACAATTTCATCAAGGATTTTTCCTTACAAGATTTCTTGTTGATAACCTCTACTACAGCCATATTGTCTGAAAGGAACAACACCTTTTTATTTTAAAAATGAAATGACCACACTTCCAGTGCAAGAACTATTGGGAACAATTCTTAAATGCAAATTTGATAATCATCTTACCCTGAAGGACATTTACTGACAAACCACTGTGACCTCAAGACAGCTGCAAAACCAAGGGAACCTGATGCATCTGTATATAGACTGAGATAGTCTGAAGATAACCAAGCATTGTCCAAAAATACTGATTTACCATTATAATTATCAATGAATATTGCCGCAGTTTCCAAATCAGCCCTAGCTTCTTTGATATTTTCTAATGTAAAATTTAGGATTACTTACACTACATGTCAAGTTAATTAATCGACGAAGGAATGTTCGCCCTGGAACCACCACAGAGCATGCAAAATTTAAAAGACCTATAATGGATTGCACGTCTTTTAATGTGACCTTTTTGCACTTCCTAAATAAGTGTCTTTTTTCCTGGATTTTTTGGATTTTATCCACTGGAAGACGGCATTCCAATTTCTCAGAATCTACCTCAATTCCATATATGACAATATTGGTTGTAGGTGCTTGGGTTTTCTTCATTTTAATTGGTACCCCAATTGACTTGCATAGGAATAATAAACTAGCAAGATCATTTGAACAACTAATTGAATTTGGGGGGCCAACAAAGAAAAAATCATCTAAAATGTGAGACATACCTGAAGCATGAAAAACATTTACCATGACCCACTGTAAAGCTTTACTAAATGACTCAAAAATTTGACAACTGCTGGCACCCATCGGCAAACACCTATCATAATAAAACTGACCTTCCAAAGTAAATCCTAGCAAATGATAATCAGACGGGTGAATTGGGATGATGCGAAATGCATCCTCAATATCAGTCTTTGCCATTAAGCAACCACGACCAAAAGTTTTAACCAGATCAACTACCTCATCTATTGAATCATACTGCACTGCTGAATTTTCTTTTGGTATGTTTGAATTAACCGACTGACTTTTCGGAAAAGAAAGGTCATGAATCACCTTAAATTCTCCAGTATTGCCTTTAGGGACAAGACCAAGTGGAGAAACAACAAAATTATCAAATGGTTTGTTTGGGAAAGGACCAGCAATCCGCCCTTTGTTTAAACCGATTTTTATGTAGTCATCAATAATATCTGTATGTTCTAATGTGGATTTATGGTTTTGAGGGGTACATGGTGGGGGATCAGATGTACATCCTAATTTAAAACCATAAGTGAAGCCATTAATCGGTATGTGGACAGCTCACTGTCGTAATAGATTGTAAATCTACTTAATTTTTTTGGATTGACTGGAGATGGTAGCTGGTTGGAAGGGAGTGTTAGATTGGGATTTAGTTGTTGTATTTGTACTTTGATTTTGTTGTTTCCGTACTCTACAATTGACTCTCGCGTGTGACATGGAGCATAATTGACACTTGTGGATGAAATGACAGGGGTTATATGAACAAGGTTCACCATTGTTGAAGGCATAACAGAATTTGGTTGATCTGCTGCCTGCGTTTGTACGAAAGGGCTGCTGGGATTGAAAATTGCTTGTATTGACCCTTAACTCTTCCACAGGTTTTTGCCAAGGTAAATCTGATGTTTCTCTTAACATGCGAAAGTTTTCATCATAGACCCTCCATGCCTTATCCCCTAACATCTTATTCATTTCCCTGATAAAAAAGCAGTACTTTAATAGATGGGGAGATTGTTCTGGGAACTTTTCAATGTAAAATGCCATATATATCAAAAAGGCATCAGTCTACCGCTGTGTGGACAGTGGAGCTTTGGGTTTTGAGGAACCTTGTTGTACTGTTACAGACCCTGTTGAAATCTTTAAGGATATTGGTTCCTCTCGCTGCTGCAACAAAATGCTTAAATCTATGAATTGGTTTGCCCAAATTTTGGTTTTCACCCTTTGTTGTGTTGCAGCACCAAGAGGAATACCATCAGAAAAGGGAATAACATTTTTAATTTTTGACGTTGCTGGCTCATCTGAGTTTTGTTGTAGTAATGCTTTAACTAGGTTTGCCATGTTAGTGGATGAGTCTGTAATGTCTTGACTCTCTGATGAAGATGTAGAGATTTGCTGGCTTTGGAATTACATTGCTTGACGACGGTTGAATGGAAACTTCAGACACGGGTACTACAGTACTGTTTACACTGTCATTTGCAGCAGTATTGTCACATAAATCCCAAGTGATATCATTATTGACCTCTGCACTATTTACGCTATTGTTGTCACATATGTTCGAAGCACTGTTAATGTTGTTAAAATTTTGAGACTGTTTGATGATAACTGCCACTAAAAGATCATAGTCAATCGCTGCTGCCACAGAAGGAGTAGAACTGTTTACAGTCATCGCAGACGACCTTTTCCTTTTTGGTAATGGTTTAGGTGTGGAGTCTGTCCGATGTTTAGGCATGGTTTATTCTGAAATGATTTATACATGGGTTATAAAAATTTAATTTGCTTGTAGGAGATTCCATGTACATAGTAACTCTGTGCAAATTACTTAGATAACAGACAAGCATAAATTCTGCACATGTCTGAATAAAAACCTAGAAAACAGACAAACATATTCAAGATTATACTAGAGAATTTCCTGTATATGTCTGAATAAAATTACTTAGGAAACAGACGGGTATAAATACTGTACATGTCTGAATAAATTCACTTAGAAAACAGACAAACATTAGAATACATTTAGAAATTCTGTAAATGTCTGAGTAAAATTACTTAGGAAACAGACAAGCTTTAATACTGAATATGTCTGAATAAATTCACTTAGAAAACAGACAAACATTAGAATAATACACTTTTAAATTCTGTGAATGTCTGAGTAAAATTACTTAGAAAGCAGACAAGTATCAATTTCGCACATGTCTGAGTAAAATTACTTAGAAAACAACCAGGCGTCAGAATACAATTAAAAATTATGTGACTATAACTTACTCATTCTTGTACCAAACTGGTAAAGCTTAATATTTTTATAGATATTGATTGAACTTTTAATGTTTATAAATTGAATTATGGCTGATTTTGTAATCATTTTAATTAAAAGTCACATAAATTAGCCTGATTTCATTCAAGTGAATTCTTAACAAATTCAATAATTACTGGCCTTTAATTTCTGTATTCTATGATGCACAGCATATTTAATGTTCCTCATGTATTTCACCATTGGTATTGGAGGATTAGCACCAGTTTCCTCTCTCAAGTAGACTCCATCGCGCCCCAGGTAGGACAAGTCAGCCCAAAATCCTCTATGCTTCCAAAAGTGAACATGGAGAAGTCCAGACGTTAAAAGTTCCAAATGCGTGTTTATTTTGAAAACCTCGTCGTTGTAGCCTGCCGGGGATTTCCTTGGGTCGCGGCGAAGTAGCTGACCAATAACGACGTTAACCACGCCAAGTCCATGTACAAGATAATTCGCATACGAAACAATGTCCTTAGAAATATCCACCGCTGGATGAGTTGTAGCATCATTTCCCCCGATGTCCAAAAAACACACTGTAGGAACTATAGGAAACATGCACAGATTTGGCGAGTTGGACAGACCACGGACTGTCAAACCTCCCTGACCCCGCAAATAAACTCTGTAGAGGTCTTCATCCAACGACAGGTTCTTATACATTTGGTTTTGTAACACAAATCGTTCTAAACGTCTCACATATGAATGTCCGATAATGCCCACTACTGCTGGATCCACCATGTTTACTAATTACCAGTTTCACCAATGTCCGTACCTCTGGCGTCGATGGTTAAGTAATCCACATAAGACAAACTAAAATGAGTGGAAATAATCGCACTTACATTCAACATCACTTCTTTAAGCTATATACCGTTCACGGTAGCCTAGTGGTAGAGCGTTAGCTTTGTGATCGGGAGGTCCGGGTTCGATTCTCGTTCCCGGCGCCGCGTCAAACCTAAGACGTAAAAATAGGTAGTGACTGTTCCTTCGCCAAGCGCTCGGCATCAGAAGTGAAAGTCACGGGTCTTTCGGATATGACCTTAAAAACGTAGGTCCCGTGTCACGGTAGGCGCTGGCACGATAAAGAACCCTCACTGCTCAATGGCCCTGAGTGCCGAGTGTAGGTCTAAATTTGAAGCCCTTCACCGGCATACGGTGACGTCTCCATATGAGTGAAAAATTCTCAAGAGGGACGTTAAACAATATACAATCAATCAATCAATCTTTAAGCTATAACAAATCCTCCCGAGTACATCACTTCCTACTTTACTTAAAGTTCACGGCCAAAAGTATTATTTTTTTTACATAAACAATCTCTCTGTTTACATAAACGCGTCCTTCACGTATTATGGTAAAACAAAATAGATGTCCCCGTGATCACAGTTCTGCAATTTTATTGGTTAATGATGAGATACAAGGACAAATATTTATAAAAATAGATACAGATGAACCCTCAGGCTAAAAATAACTATAAAAACCGAATACTAAAAATAGATTTTGTGATAAAAATAGATGTTGCGATACAATGATGCCATAAAACATATTATTTAAAAATAATATTTTATTATTGTCCCTGCTTTCATTATATCTGTCTGTATACGTTAGTCTGTCTGTTCTTTTGTCTTCCTGTCTTATTTTTTAAATTAACCCCCTCTGTTTATGTGTAGAACTTTCATTTCCGAGCGATTTCCAAGAGAGCTTTTGATTTTCTGCAATGGAATTTTAAACCAAAACTCGCAATGGTTCTGCCTACTTATAAAATGTCGGTACCCTTCCACTCCAACAACTCCCCCTCTTTGTAATCCACCCACGCCCTTTAAATCAGCGGTTACTCAGTTTTTCCCATTAAGCAAGGGGCTTAGATTTGCTGATTTAATTTGTTGATTTAGGTTTCAAATATGTTGCTTATGATTTGAACTTGTTGATGTGTTGAGAACATTTCAGGATTATTATTATTTTATTGCATAGCAATTTTGATGAAATTTAACATTTGTATACAAAAATATCTGTTTATTTCTGATATTCATCTCCACTCTCTGAAATTCGAAATAATAATCTATCCCGAAAACGGTTGATAAATTTGTCAAAATTCATACCTCAGCTGCACAAAACCTCGACATATAAGAAACTTATACCACAATCATCTTCTCTCGTCATTGTTATCTCCGCAAAGCGCATTCTTAGGCTTAAATACATGTACCTTGCAACCCAAAATTGCAGTATAACTAGGCTAATTTTCCAAGTTCTAAATTTCGACCCCAAACGCTATATGTATTGCCAACGTTGAAAAGGAATGCTTTGCTGTGAAAATAGTTGTAAAAAGGATACGACCGGAACACATGGTTTGAAGTAATATTTTAAGATGGCAATTCGAAAAACACGGAGAAATAAATTAATAAAAGTCGCGCACGTTTTTGTGTGAAGGAATAAACACTTTTCAGTGTTTAGCACTGTACCTCTCCTGTCTGCCTTTTCTTTGGAGAGCTACAGTTCTGCAGCTTTATACTAATAGTGATAATTCACAAGACCCAAATTTAATGTTCAATACACATTGTTAGCAGAATCTATAAAATCAGAGGTGGAAATATGAACCATGGTGGGATAAGCATTTCCCGATTACAATGTATCTGTGACAGCTACTGTATGCTACTTATCGTGATCGTCTTAAAGGGAATTTTTTTGCAATTCCTTATGCAATTGATGGCGGAGCTATAATAATAATTTATATATCACTCAATCGCTCACTCGGTCGTCCTAAGACGACCAACGACATGACCACGCCAGTTCTTCCTATTGGCCATTAGGGAAGCTAGTTCATTTGTATCCCTTGTCTTCGTGGCCTTGGGTCTACCTCTTCCACGGCGTCCGTGATTTGGCTCCCACAGTACCAATGATTGTGCGCTGAGCTCTGGATGAAGGAAGCAATGCTCAGATAGCTGCAATCTACTGGAGGCTATTTTATCACTGACCTTTGGGAGGTTACCATATAGGATCTCGTTTGGAATGTAGATTGACCAGTGAATGTCTAGAATCTTACGAAGCATGCGTGTGTAGGTTCCGTCTAGCGACTTCTCCTGGGCTAAGTACTGTCAGGGTCCAGCTCTCACAGCCATACAGCAGAATTTGACTCGATTGTGGCTAGGAAGAAACGCATCTTGAGATCACTTCGCATTGTTGAGCGCCATATTCTGGACATCTTGTTCAGAGCCTGCCAGGCTAGTGCTTTTTGAACAGCTATGTCCTTTTCTGAACTTACGACCCAGGAACCAAGATTTTTAAAATCTTCTACCAATTCGATTTCAGTGCCATCTAAGATTTTGAGTAGTGTAGGATTGTCAGTATTGAAGGGGAAGACTTTTGTCTTCTTGGCATTGAAACATAGCCCAACTTTCTTACACTCCCGCTCTACTCTAGATAACAGTTCCTGTGCTTGGACGATTTCATCTGATAATAAGGAAATGTTGTCAGCAAAATGAAGATCAGTAAGAACTTGTTTTGGGTGTGTTCTAGATTTTCTAGGCAGTATGGTAAAACCCAATTCCTCTTCATTTCCAGATATGGCTTTTCTCAGGGCATAGTCCAGTACTATGATAAATAAGAATGGTGCTAAGGTATCTCCCTGCAAAAATTCAGCAGTTATTTCAAACATACCAGTTTCTCCATCAGGTGTTACGATCTTGGCCATGGTATTAGTGTGTACATCTTTTTGATTGCTCGAAGAAGATTGGGCGGAATTCCATATGTCTTGAGTATGCGAATCATCTTACCTCTGTGTATGGAGCTAAAAGCTTTCCGAAAGTCTATAAAAGTAAAGATCGCTTTCAAGTTATTGGCTTTGACACCTTCGATTATTCGACGGAGGGTAAGAATCTGTGCTACTGTTGTTCTTCCAGGGCGAAGACCATTCTGATTTAATTTGAGACGTAGATCGATGACACTCCTGATACGATTAAATATGAGCCGTGGCTATGATTCATATCAAGCTGTTGCCTCTGTAGTTATCAGTCTTCGATAGGTCGCCAGACTTGGGCTCAGTTACAATGTTCATGAATGACAATGTATCTGGTTTGTCATTGTTGACGAGTGCATCATTACAGAAATCTAAACAAACACGAATTTAAAAAATGTATATGTGAAAAACATCATTCAACATTCGATTTACCTTAAATTTTCTTGGCTAATTTGAACAAAGTTTTCGAGAAGTCAACTTTAGGTCATATGCAGGTGATAAATGTTTATTGTTACAAAAATAACAAAGTTCATGAAAAAGAATTTTTTTTCTCATGAAATTTGTCATTGGATAAGTTTTAGAAAGTTTTAGCTTAATAACATGACGACACTTAATTAAAAAAATCTTTTGTGCCATTTTTAAAACATGCAGTTTTCAGTGTTACAGATCAGCTCTTTAGAAGTAAAACTTTTCCAGCATGAAAGATAAAATTTATTGCCTTCTACCTAATTTGTTGTGTGTTAGATTACTTATAGGAAGATCCTAGTATCCAGATTTTGGACACATTTAGGTAATTAAGAAACCCACTGACTTTAAAAATCAATACATTCATTGTTATTTCCATGAATGTAATGAATGGACTTGCCAAATTAAAAAAAAGTAAATTATATCTAAATGTTTTAATTTGTTATATCAATTTAAAATTGCTATAAGACGGATCGAGTTGTGTCAAGATTCGTGGAATGACTAAGACAGGAAGGAGGAAGGATACAAATGGAGAGAAAATGAATTAAATAAAAACACTTTTTTATCTTCTCTGGTGTGTGTGCAATGTATAATTATGAGAACAAATGTAATGACACAAACGATAAAACATATAATCTATACTACAGGTATCTGGCAATATAGTAGTAACACACAAGGAGTTATTTTTATTATAGGGGTGGATATTTCATTAATTTAACCCATAAATAATTGTTCAGAGTATACTAAACACCAATTATATTTTAATCAACATATTTCTACTATATGTCTTGATCGAAATATTTTTATGAAAGATTTTAATCATCAAAATTAATTGTCAATCTGAAGTGCATTTTTATAAAATCAAAAACAGTTCTTGTAACTTTATTGTACAAAGTAATTTTAAATTGTCTGCAAATCTAGAAAGGATTACAATAATGACCCTAAACAATAACAGTACTGATCATTTCGTAATTCACCCAATTCCACATCCCTTCCCATATCGAAAATAAATATAAAAATAATAGATTAAAATAATACAAAAATAATACAATAAAAGTATATTTTTAATGACCAAATTTGGAACCCTTTTTATCTTGGTTCCAAATTAGGTCAAAAATAATACACTTTCTTAGAAATGAAACACAAAAAATATATTTTTAATATACTTTATTTCTCAGTAAAAATACAAAAATAATACACTTGATGTATTTTTTCTGTACTCTTGTATTTTTTTTTTTATTAAATCCTTATCCAAAGTACAAAAATAATACAATTTAGAGAAGAACTAAAAAATACAAAAATAATATAAAATGTATTAATTTTGTATCAGTCTATTATTTCTGTATTATTTGGAGCACCTTGATACAAAATGAATTAATTTTGTATCAGTTTATTATTTCTGTATTATTTGGAGCACCTTGAAAAAAAAATAGGAAAATAATACAAAATGTATTAATTTTGTATCAGTCTATTATTTCTGTATTATTTGGAACACCTTGAAAAAAAATAGGAAAATAATACAAAATGTATTAATTTTGTATCAGTCTATTATTTCTGTATTATTTGGAGCACCTTGAAAAAAATAGGTAAAGAATACAAAATGTATTAATTTTGTATCAGTCTATTATTCCTGTATTAAAATCGATTTTAAAACAAAAAA